AGTGCCGCGAAGCAAACCAACAATCCCTCTGCACTGTAATCCCAGTCCTCTGTGCTCTTGTGTCAGTCTGTCTTCTTATAAGAGTCCCACCGCCACGGAAATCCCAACCGGCAGATCCCAGCAGCCTCGACTCACTGGTTGACGTGGGGCTTCAGGGCTTGGTAAAGTCCCTCGAAGGTGGGTCGGTCAGGGATATCGCGACTCCAGCAACGCATCATCAGCTCAAAGAGAGAAGGTGGGCAGAGTGGAGGGGCATAGAGGAAGATCTAGTGAGGGACACGGGAGAATTAAGAGTGATGACAGATTCCAGTGATTTGTTAAAAAAGACAAATGTTGAGTTAGGTTTAGTAGCCCCTCAAATTTATCCTGCAGGCACTTACGAGGGTCCTGATTTCCAGGTTTGTAAAGACTGCTATGAGCTGTCTTGGATCCAGTTGCAATTAAATTAAATGTTTGCGGTTTTACTCTCAGGTGGGCAAAATGATTTGTGACAGAAGGTAATAATCTCTGACTCTGTGTTTCGCCTCACCTGTCTGCCCTGGTTCCTGAAGAACTCGCCAGTGTTCTCTATGACCTGTTCATCAGACAGCAGGCTGTAGGGCTGCTCCTTACACAGAGTGAAGATCTCCCACAGGGTGACTCCAAAGGCCCACACGTCACTGGCTGTGGTGAATTTACCCTGAGGAGAATAATCACATCTGAAAGTTTAACACTCCAACTTTAAAATACTTTTTCAATAACTCTCTGAAGACAGCTGCTGATGAAATGTTGATTGTGATGCTTTGTGAGACTTACAAAAAAAATACGATACGATAAAAATGTATGATAAAAGCTTCTGCTTTAGACCTGGTTTGGGTCAGCTTGGATCCATTGTTTTTTCGCTTAACTTTACAGCTGCAAAAGACATTAAACTTATGCAACCACATTCATAATGCAGAACAGGAAAGTTATTCAAAGAAAACACTGCAGCAAACATGATGTTTCATTGTTTTAGTGTGCAAACCGCTACTGGTGCTTCCCCTGGAGGGCAGGAAGCTTTTGAAGAACTCTTAGCTAAACTTCCTTTAGTGAAACATTTTGCATTTGCATTTATGCATCTAGCAATTTTAAAGACAAGCAACTGTAAAGAGTTTGTTATTTGTTTTGTGGAAAACTGTTTTACTGCTTTCAGCTTTTTAAAAAAGAAGATGTGAGGGGAACGTACATGTTTTTTATAAGTCGCTGAACTGATCTAGGCAATTTTCCCAGGGTTTGAATACAATTACAAGCCTATAAACTTCTGGACATTAACTCTGAACTTTTAGCTCTTCTTCTTTTGAATATTAAAGACTCTAACATTTATAGACTACCAGTCATTTGAAAAAGACTATTTATAGTATTGCATAGAGTCTGGCTTGGCTGGTAGTATGTGTGAAGTATTGGGGGTTAAATAGGCTAAGTAGCATAATCAGCAATTTTTTTACTATTAGTATCATTATTATTATTATTTATTAGTCCTTTATTTATCCAGGTAAAAAATCTCATTGAGATTAAAAATCTCATTTCCAAGAGAGACCTGGCATCATAGCAACAAAAGTCAAATTACATGTACCACACAAGTGCATAACATTTAAAACAAATACAATATCCTGTACGAACATGTGAAAAATAT